ATAGTCTGGAAACACAAATATGTTTTCATACTGTCTTTTCTAATTTTCCACACGTACCCTGACCTGGAAATCACTACAATCACGTTCCATACTTTTCCATACTGGGTAGGAACCCTGCCATGAGATTATCCACTGGGCAGTGATTTCTTGGGAGGAACAGAGGACCAATCACAAGGAGGCCGGCTCAAAGTCTAGTGGAGCTCTGGCTCAGTCCTCTGAAGAAAAAATTACATCCTTACAAGTGGACTTTTAAAGCTCTCACTTGAAAAGCGTGAGAGTAATCAACCACCAGCCGCCTTTTGTCCAACCTTTCTTCTTCTACTTTCCTGCCTCATAGTGTCTCAAGTTTGAAGTGGGGTTCATACATTCAGCGGTCGAGGGGGGTACTCATAGGAAGTGGTAAAGAAGCATTAGATAATCTTGAGAGATGTGAGATTGGCATGAATGTGCATGGCTTCTTGTTTTGCTGTTGTTCCTCCTTCCAAAGGCTGATTGTTACTGAGGGGAAGAAATTGGGTCAGAAGAGTGTCAAGATCATTCTCACATATTCTCTGATGGCTTGGCAAAAGAAGAGGACATGAGAAGATCAGGAGAGCAGAGAGGAAGAGTAATGAAAGTGATAAGGGTATTTCATTGGGCTTGTACCAAACACCATTATTGATATTTAAAAAGAAAATAAAACTGCTATTTTGCTAAAATAAAATGGCGTGGATTCCAGTGATGAAGAGGAAATCTCTGTGGCAACCTGAAAAAAAATCAATGGTAGCTTAATTCAAACAGAAGGTGAAGAAGCAAGGGGCGCTCCTTACCTTGCCACAAATTACACATGAAGCAAGAAGAGAGAGGAGGAAGAGATTAAAACAAGATCACCTCTTTAAATTCCCACTAAGGTCACGCAAGATGCACCACTGCAGAAGCCAAGCAAGGGCGGGCATGGATTCACATGACAATTTAGGGGGTAATCACACAAGAAACCAGATACTGGAGGGGCCAATGTAGCTGCAAAAATTCCTCAAGAACTTTTAGCATGTTGGTACAACAGAGGATACTTTATTCTTCCCCTGCATTAGGCCAAGGTGAGGTCTTCTAGACAGTGATTGTATTTGTGTGAATGAATATGCGAGATAGAGCGAGGCCTCCAGTAAACCAGCAAGGCGGAGTGAGGCTGATAGGGGGAGGCAGCCCACTATAAATATTTGATTGGAGCCTAGTGGAGGCTCAGGGACACAGAGAGGACTATGGAGTCCCAGTGGGCCACAGAAACAAGGACACTGCCACCACTTCTGTCTCCTTAGCTCAACGCTAGACTGTCATGTGAAGCTCTTTGTCGTTTACGCCTGCGGCCCATTTCTGCATACCCAGAACAAACACATTAGGTCAGGTTCACATTTATTAAAATGTCCTCCGAATCCACTGCTCTTGCACTTCACGGTTCAAATATTTATGGTGTTGAAAATACTAAAAACAGACTTAACAAAAATGTCTGTGACGTCACCCATAGTTCCCTGAAGCTTACTACTGGGTTTATCAGCACTAACATTCTTAAAATAGACTGTTCCTTAAAACTGCGACAATGTACTGTAAAACAACAAGACTCTTCCAGCAAACTGGCCGCGTGAAGCTGAGTGCATTGGTGAAGACAGCCAAGGACGTAGCAAGCTAGAGCTTTTTCTCAAGAGGTGGCGGCTGCTCAAACAACAGCTAGAGGCAAGTAAATATTAGATTTACATTTGTTGGGGGGGGGCAGAAGTAAAACTCTAAGGGGATGCCAATGTTGCTCTGTGTCAGCTGAGTGGGCAAATAGGCAATTGTTTGCTATTAAGGGAAGGCGATAGACTGTTTACAAAAATGGACAATGTGACAGCTCACCAAGAGTGAAGCATAAACATCTCAATTGCCGTATGGTGGCTGTCTGAAGTATAGGACATAAACCCCGCCTCGGACATGAGCCCAACTCAGGGGCTGTCCACACCAACGCGGGTATTTATAAAACCGTGACTCTTTGCTCACGGTTTGGCCTTTCATCCACACGTAACCGCAGTTTTGGGCCCCTGTAACCGGAGTTATTTGTAACCGGAGTCCAGTGAAAAGTCCGGTGTCAGCAGTCATGTGTGGACAGGATAACCACAGTTATTTTGTCTCGTCTCCATTGTATGACATCACAGTGTGCGACGTAAACAGAAAACAGCTGTGTTATTACCCGATCCAGTGTGTGCGAGAGACGATTTGAGGATGGACCTAAACAAAATACTGCTGCTATTTAGCAGCATATCAGCACTTTGTGGCTGTATCATACAACTAACGCTACTCAACCACATCCAGCAACAGAGGCGCAAGAGTGTGCTATTACGGAGACTGCTCCTGCTGCATAATAGTACGCTTGTTGTTGTTTTTCCGGTAATGACGTTTTACTGCCTTCTGATTGGCTACAATGGCCTTACAGTTAGGAGTTATATCGCCACCTACTGCTTTGGCATGTGTATTACATTGCTTGATAGTGGAATTTGCGGTGTCATGTGGACGGAGGTATTTTTATTACACCGCTCGTATGGACGCAGATTTTTTAAAAACTGGAGGCCAAAAAAGTTCGGTTTTAAAAATACCCGTGCTCGTGTGGACTAGTCCTAAAAGATCAAAGTTTATGTCAAATAAATTGGCTGCCCTCAAAAAGTCAATCAAACATTAATCGACCAGAAAGGTTATTAGTCGGGAAGATTTCATCAGTCGCTTAGTCACAACAAAACAACAACAGCAAAAAAACAACAACAACCAAACGTGAAACTCTATTAGGAGCTGCATCTCGTCAAAATAAATCAAAACCTACATGACTGGACCATGTGGGAATTTAATTTGAAAGGTCAGACACAAGAAGTGGCCACGCTCAGCAGTCAGACAGGAGTCAGGTTACAAACCAATCACAGCTGACAGATATCTTTCCCTTCTTCTGTAAATATTCAGTCTGATAAACACAGAGAAATTGATCATGTTAGTGCAGGGCTACCCAGAGCTTTACATCTGTCCCACAGACGATAGGCCTACACACTTATAAACAGCTCCTGGAAGAAGATCAGCTCTGCACTCAGGATTTCAGGTCAATAAGACGCAGACGCAACCTGCCACGACGCTCTTAAAAGTTGGCACAGAAAAGCGCCGACCTCTGGTTTTCCGGGCGGTTAAAGACGCAGCATGTGTATGGCCTCTAATTTCCAGGGCTGGTACCTGCGGTTATTCCACAGGCTAGTTAATAACATGTCGGGCAGGAAATCCAAAGTGTGGGATCATTTTGAGAAGGTTAAGGACGAACCCAAGGTGATATGTAAACTCATCTTCATTGGTCGACTACAAACATGACGTATCATCTGAAACATGGAAGTAGCTACATGCCCATTAGCCTACAGCGTCATTAACAGGCGGCTCGCTCAGTGTGTGACGTGCACTTGTAGATAAAATATAGGCCTATATTAATGAAGGTTCATTAGTACGGTTTTGTATTTCTCTGTAATGTAGCACAGTGTTAACAAGCGACTAGTCGACTAATGGCGACTGTTGGTGGACTAGGAAATTTTTCAGTCGGGGAAAGTCCTTGTTCTTATCATGCTATAGTATGTTCAAATGTTCATGAACTCTGGCTTCAAATGACTCTGCAAGTACAAGATGACAGTGGCTAAATCCAGGATATTTTGACTTCATTTTTGTACAGTCGGAGGGAGTGGAAATGCATCGTCCACGTTTATATACAGTCATTAATTTGGTCTTAACCACTTGCTATTTTTTTGGGAACCCCCAAAAGGTTAAAAAAAAAAGCTCACTCAGTGGATAACATTCAAAAATAGTAAACGCTTCAAAGGTTTCTGACATCATGAGAACCAGCCCAGCCTTGCATCTTCCACAGTGTTCACCATGCATCAAAGTCCCCCAGTGTTGCAGCGCATGCACCAGTCCAGTGCCCCATGCAGCATTCACCGACAGCGTTTGGGCTGCTCCATCCTTAAAGTGACAGGGGTGAACTTTCCAGTGTCATTGTCAGACAGAGAAAAGAAGAGAGAGGGAAAGAGAAGTCGAGGGGGAAAGTGAGATATGAAAGTCACATGGAACATAGGGGTGATGCGGGTTGAGTTGTAGAGGAGTGACCAGAGAGGTAGAGGTGACAGATTATAGGAGAGCAGATGGGGTGAAATGGAGTGGTGACATGAGAAGAGGCGAAGTGGGAGGAAAAAGGTGAGAAGAAAAAAAGAGAGAAACTGAGAGACAGGACAGCAGTTTGGTTGGGTCGAGGCCATGCTCTGTAGCTGCATCTAGAGATGAAGATGATGGGATGAATATGGGTCAGTGGCGATGACAGAGCAGTGATGGGCACTACAGCCATCCTATCAGATCTCAGACAGGAGGTGACAGATGTGCTGATGTGGAAAATGACAGCAGTAGCTGGGCTTCCATCCAAGTCCTTTATGAATTATGAAGCATGGACACAGAATGGAAAAATGGCAATTGAAATATTCACTAAAACATCTTAAAAATGTAATTTCTCATTGTGTGTGGAGTATGACTTTATGTATGATGAATTCCTACAGTCACTCTCATCGCATCCATTAAGATTTGAAGTTGTGTTTAATGAATGCCTTCCTTGGACATCTTTCCTAACAGCTGACCCTTTCCTTGGTTTCTTTAGGATTAAAAATGCTCACTCATCCTAACCCAGAGACTTGAAAAACACCTCAGCTGCTTTTATTTTTTAATATGTATCAAAAGATTGCATTCAACCTGCTTGATAGTTAGATGGAAACACAGCTAATGCTGCTGATGATGAGTAAATGGGAGATGTAGTTAGTGACGTGGTCAGCCATCATGCTCTGAGCACCCATGCTGAGGAAGGAGGGAAGGAGGGGGAAGAGAAAGAGGGGAAATAGAGGTAGAGGAAGAATAAAGTGTAAAAGACAGGGACAGAGAGGGGGTGGAGGGGGAGAGGGGGGTGGCATGCCCTGAGTGAGCCACCATGCTACCTTGTTCCACCAGCCCTGCGGTGGTGCCGGCGGCTGCAGCCACTGCTGCCGCGGCCGCAGTGACAGAGGCTGGAGCGGTGGTCTGCCTGCTGCCCACTGTTAAGAGTCCAATAGCCAGTCACGTGTGGAGAACGAGAGTTACAAGGCAAGGGAGACGAGAAAGAGGCGAACAGTGGGTAAAGATGGAGAAATGGTGGAGTGATATTTTGAAAGAAGGGTCAAAAAAAAAAAGAAAGAAAGAATGTGAGGGCAGGAGGTGAGTCAGAGACACAGCAGGTAGGTGGGCAAGGTGGGGGAAAGGAAAGAAAAGGTGAGACACAAGAAGGCGGAGACAAACAGGGCTCGTTAGTTTAGAGAAGGAGGATTAATTCATACACACAAACTGCTGACATTATTTGGCTGTGACACAATTTCTGTCAGAGATGAATCCGCTGCTCTGACAGAAGGATCACCGAAGCAAAATGTCACCTTTCATCTGGCATTCTTTGATGCTTGCATTTTGTCTCAATGCATCCCTGAAAACAGCGTTATTGTTAGGATGACGGCGGTGATGATGAAACAGAGTTTAGTCGATGTTAGTAAATGTTAGATTTGCTGTGTTCACTGACCTAAAAACTGTCAGCAACATTTAAAATTTACAGCAGGAGGTGCACTGATTGCAGGAAATTAAATACAATGTGTTGAAGTGACATATTGGCGGCTTTACTGAGGATATACACAGCTCTGTAACTGAAACTTTAATTTAAACCTGAACGTCATCCTTACAGAGTATGAACACCACGAGACATTGCATCAACATGTGGAGGGAAACAGAGCTGCCTCTGTGTCAGCACAGGGACACTGATACACTTATCTGTAATGCATGATTCATATGATGAGAATATGCTGGGAATTTTGAATATTGGCACAATTTCAATATAAAAATCACATCTTTTAATGGTGAACTTATTTGGAGGGGTGAAAAATTTTGATAAAAAGTTGGAGTAATGCATTATCCAAATCTTAGGAGGTAAAATATATAAATAACAATCTGTCAAAATATGATTCTAATATAAGTATTAATGTGCTGCAGCGATGTGCAGCCAAAAAAATGAATTCTTCAGATTTAAGAAAAAAAAAAAAAACTTTGGTAAAGATCCTCGCAAAAAAAAAAAAAAAAAGAAAAA